TTCAATATTGATATAGTTTCAGTAAAAACTAGCTTTTTTCTTCTTACACACCCAATCCAAAATTTAAATTCAGGATATTATCCAAGTAACTGGAATGAGTTATATTATAACCTTAATAGATATTTAGAAAAAAATATTGGAAGAAATATTCATATAATATAATTTATCCAGGAATAACTATTACAATTTTCGGTATAAATAAAAGTCAACCGTTACTGACTGACTGATCTATAAACGCACAGCTCAAATCATTGAACGGATTGCACTGAAGTTTGGCACACATATAGGGCTAAAATTCCCGGACTTTTATCTAAATGTCCGGCTTTTCGTCATGACTTATATTTTTTTTAAATTAATGAGAACTTAATAAAGATTATTTGACTTATTTGATATAACTTAATAAGTAGTTTTACTTAAATCTATCTAATTAAAAAATCCGGACAAATTAAAAAGCCGGTCAAAGTCCGGACAAAGGCATAAACCGGTCATGTCCGGACAAATCCGGACGGATGGTAACCCTACACACATATAGCTATTATGATGAAGGCGGCTCAAGTGTTAAAGGAATAAAACAGGGGTTCAAAGTTTGTATGGAGCCCCAAGCAATCAAAATCAAATCTAACGCGAGCGAAGAAGCGGACAAAAGCCAGTACATATTATTATATTTTGCAGTCACCAACGGTGTTGTCATCGTTTTGTGTACGGTATGCTAATTGCTAACAATACCTAAAGTATTTTGTATAGCGAGCGACACCAGATTATAATGTATTAACTAATTTACTTACTACTTTGTAACAGATTTGTAACAGAAGATGGCACTGAGTGATAAAATTCCGAACTAACAATGAGACATAAATCGTCTGCTATTATCGATACCGTTCTGTATAGTGTTACAATGTAAATTAAGTTCGTTATTAAACGGTGTTACAACTACGTGTACAATGGCAAGAGCCGTGGCTTTACCAAGATAAATATTGTTATTCGTCGTCTCTCCTCACACGAAAAATAAGATCGCACATTGAAATTACATTAATTGTATGTTACATTTATTGTTATTTTTATTACTTAAATAAAATCCAGAAAAAAATTACGTGAAAAAAAAGCACTTTATGTATTCTTCAAATCATCCCCTATTGATTTTTATATATATTAACCTTTTTTGTACTTGCTGCCCGGGCAGACTTCGTTCTCAAAAGCAGGAATGTCAGAATTCTTGTTTCCTCTTCAATATCCTATACAATCCTTCATATCCATCCTATCGTCGGGAGAGGTTTTTTTTCACCCACTCGCCTAATGTTCCTTGCAGGTCCCAACTCAAATCAGTACTCAAATGTCCTATTCATAAAACACACATGCCGTCCGCTTGTGGAACTCGCTGCCAGCAGGAATCAGAGACAGTCCAACTGTTGATACATTTAAAAAACGGTTGAAGGAACACTATCTATCCTCTTGAATCACTGTTTCTGAACTGTATTGCATCTCCTTTTCTACACTAAGTATATATGTTTATTTGTACATCTATGTAGATATATATGTAGGTTTTGTTTATGTAAGTATTGTATTTTGCTATTTATATTCAGGAGGCACACACTGACGACCTTTTTTTATGTTTTTTCCTTTCGCGGGCCTGCTGGAAGAAATTTCAATATGAAATAAGCAGTGCCCTTAAACAAATTTCTTGTTCCTGTTCTTATCTGTTTTATTGTGTGTGTACTAAATTATTAAATAAATATTTAATAATTTAGGTTGATAGGACATATGGACTGCTGGTTATGGGAAAAGAAAATTGTTTCTTTTTATTATTATCATATCGTAAACAATGCGTTTGCCTCTCTTCTTGCTTATAAGTTTAAAGTAAAATTATCAAAATCAATTTTAACCGCCTTGTTAAAAATACTCTTAGGCAAACTTTCAACCCGAAAGCTTCACAAATAGAGTTTTTTAACTAGTCAGATAATTTGCCAACATAATCTGTAGCTGAAATAAGACAAGATTAAAAATAAACAGTTTTTTTCAAGTCAGTGCATACATTAACACCCAAGCAGAGCAGTGTAGACTTAAGTAACTATTAATACCAAAGCAATAATAAATCATTAGTTGCAATAAAAATGGAAACAATGGCTTGTCATGGTTATATAGTTTTTTTCCCGCTAGTAGTAAACTGATAGTTTTATTTTTTTTACACCGAGTCCCCACCCACTATTGACGTCAATCGACCGGTTGCCTGACACATGGACGTATTTATGTGTGTGTAGGTCTGTGTGAGTGTAGGGCCTGCTCAGCCAACAAATGGGTTGCTGAATGGGTTAATCAATTATATTAGATGACCGAGCCCAAAACAATTATGTATTAAAAATTTATAGAATAATGGACCCAATTTACAGCCTTGCGGTATTCCTACATCATCATTTAATTACAATTTCAATAGCAATTATCAAAATGACAACGAAGTAACTTTCAGATACACAATTGTTAAGGAGGAGCTGACTTAACTAAGTTGCTACTTGTAAACTGACTTGTAATCGACTAGAATATTTTTGAAGTAGGTATTATTATTTTAATATTATTTCATTATAGGTATTTTTCATTTCGCGATTTTTTTCTTTAATACCTACCATCAGGATTATATAGGGTACTTTACTTATGTACGTTGATAAGTTAAATTTCCATGCAGTTAAAAACAGAAATTATGGCCAAAATTCTCAAACTCGGCACCCTTACGCTAAAATTATTTTGACAACTTTTGAATAATGTCGTAATTACATATTAACGTTTGATATTTTAGTGCTCTTGTTACTAGATTATGTATTATTCTTTGTTCATTTTGTGTTTGAACTTTGGAATTGGTGCGGATCAAATATATAACAATGTTAGATAATCCTCCATAGACTTTATGGAAATGAACGTCACAAGATTTTACATAAATTGTTCTTATTATGAAGAAAAACTTTATCAGAACCCACTTTAACCATACTACATAATTGTTATATGAAGAGGAATCAATGCCAGCCCTGATGAGAATCGTGTGTCATAATGTCGAGCAAACATGTAACAACACAAGCAGTTAAAATTTTGCCCGTGTGTGTGTTGCTGTAATGTCCATGCATGCAATCACATTGATCGTGTCATGTTCAATAATTCTTGTATTAAAACTGTACCGGGTACTCACGTCAATATTTACAAAAGCATTCATCATCAAGCAAACATCTCATGCCTCTGAGGCCGTTAATTCATAAAGACAAAATATCTTTATTCATATTGGGTCTTTGATACAACTTGTTTGATGAGTCCTTTTTTTTAATTTTATGTCTAGGTCTTGAATTCAACGCGGACCCCCATCATTTGACATATAAAAAATGGTTTAAGCTCTTTAGTGTTGATGGATTCATTCTATTTTTATAACGGCTTTTTTTTTGTTTGTCTCGCTCACGCCTTCGACTTAAGAAATTCGAGTATGTATTGGGACTTGATCCGCAAAGTTTGAAATATCACGAGTCTTCATAATTAGATATTTATTTTCTGATTCACAAATTTTTTTTTCTTCAAATCAGAAAAAGCAATTGTAATCAACCATTGGTTGCTTTCCATTTTTAAAAATAAATTCGTTATTTTTAATATTTAACCCGTATAATCGACCAAAGTTGTTTTCTTTGCCTTTTCCTATTGCCTTTATTTATTTCTTTTCAACGAAACCTTATCTGTATTGTTACTAAGACGATAAAAATATAAAGGACCAAAGCTGCTAATTCGTTCTCAAGTGATATCGTCATAAATGTAAAAATGGATTTTTATATTTTTATATGTACGTACATGTATTATAAAAGGTTTATTCTTCAATTACTAAAGCCATAAAAGCGATAATCGTGTGCTATGAGTTACTATGACACAATAGTCATAGAATCCCATTGAGACATTTCTTCATGAACCGCTACCACTAAAATATCTGTATTTTTAAAACTTTTATGCTCATTTCCGGATCCAGATAAAATTAATATTCCTTGGTAGATACTTTCGTTGATTTTGGAAGGCTACATTACGCAATCAATTCACACCATGATTTGAAAACGCGTCTTCATTGTATCGCAGGACTTATAATGTCATAATATTATTATGCATTCCAGCGAATGGCATCAACTTCATTTCTCAGTTAATCATTTGGCATTTACTCATCTTAAGGCATAAATTAATTATCTACAGTAATTAAAAAACAGAACCATAATATCATCGCAAGAAGTAAGAATCGTCTTTAGGCATTCAAAATAGATATTTGACTTTTCTTTGTTTATTTATCTATTACTGTGGCTGGCGCTTTTACGATAAAAAAAATCCTTCAGTTTCATAGTGGTTTCAATATAAAGATATTTTTAATTACACTATTTTAAAAAATACTAAATGTAATTTTAATAGACAAACGTTATATTAGACATAGATAGGAACATTACATCCAAAAACGGTACTAAACCTAATTGAACACAGGCCTAAAATCTCTATTTTGCAGTGACATTTCAAAATTCATAAGATTAACGATCGCACTCAAAGACATGTTTTATTTTATTTATGTATTTATACTTTATTGCACAAATGAGTGTACAAGTGGCGGACTTAATACCATTAGGTATTCTCTACCAGTCAACCGGAGAATTATAGGAAAGAGCTTAAGAAGGTTTTATATAATGCTTTTAAAATATAACGTAATATGTTATCATCACCTTTAGTTATACTTCGAAATTAATTGATCTCTCTGAGAGCGGCCGTAAATGAATCTAGACAACTGACAGATTACTAGATATACATAGTTCTGCGACAAGATTTCTACAGAACTGAAGACAAAGAAGATTTAAATATAAACGTTGAGGATATTCCAGCTATACACATTTTTGCAGTGGAATATCCTCGAAGGACAATATTGAATTTCTGCTTTGTCTTCGGTTTCTTTAGCAGGTCGCTCAGGATTCCCTTTCTTATGCCATTGAATTAAAGAGTAAAATTGCTTGTTCCAGATGCTAAACGCTGAATGAGGCACATTGACTTCTGAGCGACCTGCGAGGACTTGAGGACCAGCAATACTTCATCGCGAAGGAAACTCGTTCTGGAAGAATCTACTTTTGTTTGTTTAAAGTGTGAGCAACCACGACTGGTGGATTGTTAGTAAAGTATACATTTCTATACTTTGTAAAAGTATGTACTCTTTGAAATGATTTTATTTATTTATCTAAACAATTGATCCTCAATGTGATAATTACTAATTTGACTAAGGTTTATAGTATTTTTTTGATAAATATAAGACTACTTTAATATAAAAAATATAATCGAATAATTTAAAATTTATTTTTCAGTTGTGGTTGTTCAAATCGGCTGTAAACATATTATCTTTATACAGAATAACTAATTTTGTAATTTTTCATACTCGTATACATACTCGATTTAGTTCATTTATTTATGCACAGTCGACAAATAGTTATGTAATTTAGTATCCTACAATTTAAAAGCTATTGTCGCTTTTTACTTGATTCTTATGATGAGAGGAGGAAATCCTATGCCAAAAGTACCAACTATTAATAAGACGAATGTCAATCTTCCAATATTGTTGTTTGTACCTATATGCTTACCCTACTCAGTATTAAAACATTATGAACTTAGGAAAGAGGCTAAAAAGTTACTAAATTCTTTCTATAAATAAATAGGTTTTGTAATTAATTTAGTTACTTTTGAATGAACCATTAAGATTTCTTGGTATTATTAAGTGATATTTTATAAATCAGTAGAAATAAAGTAATTGTTAATATTTATTTTATTAATGTTGTGAGACTATATTGAAATTACTGAGTATGTATTACATTATTTGATTACTTCTCCTCTTATACTGATATTTTTTAAATTAATAATATTATTCGAAAATGAAGATTATGATGATTTTTTTTTTGAAGTAATTATAGTCGAAATTTATGAAGCCTTTATTTTACCGAAAGAAGTATTAATTGTTAGAGTAGAAACTATTAACTATTTTACTTGTATAATTGTTATTTATTTCCAAAGACGAATAATCAAGAATAGAAGAATACAGACATATCATTAATTTGCTTTAGTTTTGTAATTTAATTAATATTTTTTGCAAAATCATTATTCTTATACATGCTTATTTATTGAATTTCCATTATATGAATATAATCAAAATACCAAAATAACAACTTGCCTGTTTGTATTATAATCTTTTTTTAAGTTAATTAATTATAATTATTATAACATATCAACATTCCAAAATTCGAGAATTGTTTATTTAATTTAAAGTTATGTCAATTTGTTTACATACTTGTATGTATGTTGAATAAATTTTACCGATTGTTTATTCGTGTTTTACATTGACAAACTGTTTTATGCATGTCCAACAAAACCTTTTTCGTAGAGAAGCAGCAAAAATCACTTGGGATGCATTTTTTTTGCCATCGGATGAATGAAATGAAGAAGATCTCGAAATAATAAAGTAAACTAAGAGACATTAAAATTTTATTGATGCCGTGATTTTTGAAACATAGTTAAATTTGACTATAGATATACACGTCAAATACGTAGTAAATAAGCCAAATTTTGTCAAAAAGTTAGTTTTATCTAGTATAAGTTGTCAAATTTCAGGTAATGCAGCGTCCTCTTTAATGTCGTAGGTAACATATCGAATGACGTGAATATCGACCTCGCAGAACCTCTGTCTCCATATAGCACTTACAGTTGAAAAGACACAACAAAGGAAAAGTTTAAACGCGATATTCGCAGCATGACGCACCAGTTGGTATGATTGGTGGGCCCCCATCAATCATTCTTGTTGAACAACAAAGCAATTTCTGTAACGAAACAAATGTTTAAAATGAAAAATAGATTATGCACAGTTTTTTTCTTTTGCATTCCAACAAAATACAGACACCAGTTAATACAGAAATATAGAAATACAGCGACCGTGAAATTAGATTCATCTCGGTTTTCGGTTGAGGAATCTGTTACAAAGCTTTTGTTCTATTTTCAACTATTTTTTATTAATTATGACTGGAGTGTGGTGGTGTTTTGATATTAAGGCTCTGTTAAATATAGTCCAAAAATTATGTTAATTACAACACTGATAGACACAGAATATATAATAGTTATTTATTATACAAGAGTGGAAAGTTCCTTTTTAACCGCGTGCTCGATTTGGATGACCGAGCAAGCGAAGGATTCTAAAGTTGAATCACGAGCGCAGCGAGTGATTCTAAATTAGAATCCTGAGCGTCAGCGAGGGAAACAAACGAGCACAAGATGAAAAATCTTTCCACTCGAGTGCAATACGTAACTTTTCATCCCACCTCAGCGCGGAAATGACAAAATGAATAAGAAAACAATTTATAATGACAAAATATTTAAGCAATAAAACGTGAAAAACTAGAATGGCGCGAAGCACGCAAATAAAACAAAGAAACCAAGAAGGTTCCAAATTTAATTTTTTTCACAATTTAAAAAGTTCTAATCATAAATTTGGCACCATAGAGGTTACATTAAATAGGTTTAATGACGTTTTGAATTTACAATTATATTGAGTACTCATTATATGTGATGTTCTAAATTCAAATCTACTTTGCCGCTCAAGCGAATAAAATAGAATTTTCCAGCCAGATTTCGAAGCGCAAAATTACACTTTCCGAGGTGGTGGGATGAAAAAAATATGAGCATAAAGCTCAGTGTTAATGTGTAACAGCTTTATTAAATATTTAAGAAAATAAAGCAAATACTGTTACATAATGTACAAAGTACAAGGAAAATACAAAAAAATATATAAATACATAAAAGTTACAACCAAAAAATCTAAAACAGTGAATATTAAAAAGTAGCCTTTGTAAAATAGTTTGACGCCATATTTTACCATTTTGTATTTGACAATAGCAAATTTATGAAATAGTGCTGCGTATGCTTAAAAAATTAGCAGAAAACGAAGCAAATCGTATCTGCAATTATTTTCACTTTTCATCCAATGATTACAAAATCCAGTAATAGGATTAAAAAACTTTTTTTCTAACGAAATTTTTATGTAGCTACTTTACAATTTTTTACATTTATTTGTTGCTATACAAATTATTTACTACAAATCTTATAATTTTAGATCTTTTACAATTAACCTATTAAGTTTGCCGCGTATCATAGAAACATAGAAGAGGTTATTTAACCTGGACCAATTTATTAATAAGATAGCTCCAGCAATGAAATTCCACTTGTGTCTGTTTGTGGATAAATAATAATTGTTAAAACGTTAAACATTGAATAAGATATGATACCTACCTAAGTATATGCGGAGACAGCCAGACCACAATCACTGTTTACACCAGATATGTAATTACAATACCGGTATGACGCAAGTTGAATGATTGCACAGTGATTGCTAAGGATTTGTGAATACGTTTATTTTTTAATTTGCGCGAATCTGCATTATTTTTACTAGCTTTTATTTAACTTGCAACGCTCATAGGTATGTATGTGTTGTAACTGAAAAGGTAAAAATAATTTAAGCCCTGAAAGGAAAGAAACCATTTTTAAGTACATTATATCCCATTTTTTCTTAAAAGCGTGTTATATTTTGTTCGCAACAGAAATGAAAAGGGTGTAACGCGCTTTTATATTATACATAAAAAATGGTATATTTCTTATCAGACTTCAATTTATTTTTAATTTTTAAGTTATTTTTATTAACATGCAATATTAGCTTGCTGGAAAAAAAACATGTTTTTTTTTATCGAAAGAGGTTGAATATGCATATAATTTGAAGTTTTAGAAACTTAATTTAGTCCTTTATTCATTGTGATTTACCTACCGTCTTTTGTTATTGGAATGCCTTATTGACATGGCTATCTGTATTTGCAGTAGGCAACGATATTGTAGATAACTAAATTTGATCGCAGTTTGTACTTATTCTACTCGATATTGAATGAAAGGTGACCCTTTTCGAATTGAGATGGCATATATGAATAGCTGTGTGAATATATATACATATTATTGAAGATCATAATTATAAAGCTGAACCAATTAAGTTGAAATTTGGTATAGAGTTTGAGTTCCTACAAAAAGACAGGGTAGTTTTTATACCCGAAAACTACCTTCAAGAGGATGAAAAGAGTGAAAAAAGTTTGTATGGGAAACCAAACTTTTTCCACGGAGTCACGGGCACCTACTATTAAAACATAAATACGTAAGATTGTTGGCTATCACAATTTGGGACAAAATATGGTTGCACATCGCATCTGCACATAGACATGATTCTGCAGGTATTTGATTGGTACTAGGACAAAAGAAAAAATCATCCATGTAGCATCCCTCCATAACTTTATGGTGTAAATCAATGCTTACATGATGGCATTTGTTTCTACCAGTGCATTCCCACAAAAAGATTAAAAACAACTTAAACTCAAAAATCATTTATTCAGTCTAGGCTGTAACAAGCACTAATGAAGGTCGAGAAGCTACGCCATTGGCTCACAACTATGGCGGGAGACCTTGTACTGAGAAGAACCGGCAAGAAACTCAGCAAGGGATGTTTTTTCTTCATGTACTACATATATTATATACAGAGATGTCAAGTTGAAAAATGACTTCAGAAATACTTCTTAAGTCATCTTCCATTACGTCATTTAGAATATAGATATACAGGGTGTAAAAAAACCTATGACTAAGACTAAAACTACGCATTCTGTACACCCAAACAAGTAATATTACAAAATATTATACATGGGAATCATTTGTATATTTAAGTTACAAAAAACATTTTTTTACTGTACGCAATGTATAGCGTGGCGCGCTACTGTGTCGCTACGCAAAGAATGTGTCTCCGTGTAAGTGCGTCGATAAAAAAGTTTCTAAATAACGTTTTGAAAATATTAATGAAAAAATCTTGAAAAACAAATTGTGACTTTGACCTTTAATATCTCCATAACCATAAAGTTCCCAGCTAGGGGGGCTGGTACAAAAAAAATATCATCATGATATGGAATATACGTGGCCTTCGACTTCGTCAAAGGATTTTTTACAGCCTTTATAGTTACAAATAGATTTAGTGTCGCCGCACACGGGCCACATGCCACAGCCACAAACGCCGCCACGAGAAGCTAGAAGCAGCTGCTAAAG